AAATCTAACGAAAGAAATATTCAATCAAGATAAAACATGTCTATATGCCTTTGTATGTAATTTTAATATTATTCTTGACTATAACAGTTGGACAAATGCTAATATCTATCTATTTTTTGCAGGGTTCGTGGTAGCAGTGTCAATAGGATGTTTACTATTTGGGATAATGGTATTAATATTCTTCACCGCTTGGGTCAACTTAGTCGTAGATCATGTGAGTACTGATTTTCACATTCGAAAATGTTAATGAGTTCGAAGAACATGGGGAAATAGCTCTAGTGAAAATAAAGAATATGTTTCTTAAATTTTGATTAGAAAATATGAAATTCTGCCGGAAAATAGAAAAGCACGTTTCACAACACCAAATATAATATAATATCTGCTATTGTAGACTATAACAGGATATTTTTTCGAAGTTGTGAACATTGAAAACTTTCTATCCAGATCATTCTGTCAAGATGGTTGTTCTGATTATATTGGAGTCCTTGGTGGAATGATGCCCTATCTACTCTGGGATCTCAAGATCATACCGACTTGTGGCACTAAGGCAGAAATCTTAGCCACACAAATACAGAAGGTTATCATTGTTGGCTTACCGCACTTACTCAGGACACATGATATTCTTGGACCCAATGATCACTTACACCAAGGTGTGGGGAGTGATCCTGAATGTATCAGGGCTTCGGGAGATAAGGCCTAACCAGCGCAACCTCAGGTTGAAAAAATCAATAATAATGAATTTCTCAACCCGACAACTTCGGAAAAATAATAATAGAAGCTGTCAGCATATCTAGCATGTCTCATCGGCCTATATCCATCAACATAACGCAATCCTAAGAGTGCTGCATTACCGTCTACTCAATACAGCTTGGAATCGCAACGTATTGGAACAAATGAAAAAGTGGCATATCCAAGGAATGACTTGCTTTTATAGAAAATTTCTTGAAAAATTGATCCTTTTATGTGAGAGCTAATGGCATAGACTATGAGGAAAAGTACCTCAAAAACGGAACCTCTCAAGGATCATAACTCAGCGGCACCCTCTTCATCATAGCCATCAACGACATCTTGAAGAATATCAAATTCCCAGTCAAAGGGCTGCTATACGCGGATGACCTAGTCCTATTTGTCAGTGGCAAAAATATAAACACATTGGAGTCACTTCTTCAAGAGGCGATATCAAGTCTGGAATTATGGTCCCTCAATACAGGTTTCCAATTTTCACCTGCGAAGACCAAATGCTTCCTATTTTCCAAACAGAAAGCAACTAATTTCCCAAACTTTACACTTAATGGACAGCAGTTAGAATTCGTTGAGGAAACAAAGTTTCTTGGGATGACGTTTGACTACAAACTAAATTGGAATTGAATATGGGAACGCCCACATTCGCAATGTTACGAAATCTTGTCAAAATGGTTTGAACCTAATAAAGGTCTTGTCAAATCACACCTGGGGAGCGGATTGCAATACTTTGTTAACCATCTATCGGGCGCTAATTATATCTAAAATAGACTATGGATGTATTGCCTACTCTACTGCAAATAAGTCAGTTCTCAAAGAGCTGGATGTTATTCAACATGCCGCCATTAGGATAGCCCTAGGAGCATACCTCTGTAGTCCAGTCGAAAGTTCACTTATCGAAGCAGAAGAACAGCCTCTCGATCTTCGCCGTGAGTACATGACCATGACTTATGCTGCAAGAATTTCTGATAATATAAACGACCCCACCTATCATTATATCTTCAGTAACAGATTTTCTCTTCTTTTCAATCAAAGTTATAAAGGTGCTATACCACTCTACGCAAAAATGTTAAAAATTTCTAATATTCCTGTAGTCGCTAATAATGTCATGTCACTTGGCTCTTCACCACCATGGACCATAAAGATCCCATCCTGTAACACCCAACTCTCCACCCACAGGAAAAATGATATCACACCAGGTTTTATCCAAAAAACTTTCTCTGAAATAATCTCCAACTACAAGGAATACAAACACTTATACACAGATGCTTCGAAATCTTCTGATTATGTAGGAGCAGTCGTCATTACAAAAGATACGAAGCTTGCCTACCGTCTGCCACCAATCTGTAGTGTTTATACAGGTGAATTATACGCCATAGATCAAGCGGTAGCACACTGTGAAAGACTGGAATGCTATTACATAAAATATAATTATACCTAAATGTTCCTCCGCTAATAACCCTTCGCGGTTGATGCGGTTATTTTTTAAATAAAAAAAAAATACCGTCTACAGGACTTTCACGGTATTAACGAGACACCGGTGTTGCCTTACGCTCCGAAAGATATTGAATCCGTTGTGGAAAATGGAAACTGTCAAATTTATTGAAATTATTCATTCCCTTTCTCTAACCATCACTAACTCAACGGTGTGAGGAGTAGCCAAAAAATATAGGACTTCCTTTTACTCGCAAGAGGTTGACACTTTGGGTATAAATTTCAAATAAAACATTTTGTCAAAATAAAAATTGATGTTCTTCAAAATTTTTGACAACACGACCGTGTTTGAGGTATAGAAGGTATCATGTATACATTATCAGTATATTCGACACACTCTCTTCCACTACAACTTTTACTAGCGATTTCACTACAAAGCAATTTGATTGAATCAGAGCCCAAAAACGGAAAAATCGTAATTCAACGTCAGAAAGCGCCGTGTCTACCCACCCTAAGTCCCTTCAGTGATGCTTGGCTGAACTACAAAGGCAAGAAATAACCAAAAATGAAAAAATAAACGAAAACATAGATTATAACGAACAAGTACTCTCTGTCTGTTTAAAATCTGTTTTTCCGTTAACCAGCTGTCGCACCCCTACGAACGACAACCCTCAGAAGTAGAAACTTGTGCGAGCTAAGGATTAACGAGGTCTTGCCTTTTAACGTGTGATTCCTAACACGGACATACACGGATATACGAACAAGTACTAGTTTATAACATCTTTAGATTTAATTCAGCTATCGAAAAAATATTTTGAAGTTCAAACCCTATAATTTCAAGTACGTTAATTCACAAAATTACTTTATTGTTTCAGGTATTAACATTAAGAGCTGGCACACAGACGTTTGGATGGTGGTCGAAACCCCCTGTATTGCCAATGATGAAAGTATACGTGTATAATGTAACCAACGCGGACGAGTTCCTGAATAATGGATCAAAACCAATTGTCGATGAGCTAGGCCCTTATGTATATCTGTGAGTAGACATATAGAAAAAATGATACAGATATTTTGTTTATAGAATTCAATAATTCGAATCTTATCATCAGCCTCAACTAAAATAATATAGTGAATATTTTTTTGTATTAGTAATCTGAGAAATAAAGCCAAATCAATAGATTGATAATCTGCCGTAGTGTAATAAATGACAAACTATCGATTCAACTTTGTTTATTTTTCTAATTGTGGAAGGTTTTACAATCAAACCGTCGGTAAAAAATATTGATTCCTCCATAAAAAATGTCTTTCTCAAATAATATTCAGAACTGAAAAATTTCATTCATTTGATTTCTTAAAATCTTGTCAAATAATTGACGACTCTATAAGAGATCGTTTATATTTTTTAAAATCAGTTAGGTTCCTTGATGTCAGCATTAGATTTTCGAGTTATGCAATGAAACTGAAACAGAGTTAAGAGAGTTCAAAAACATATACAAACGAAAATCCATATAGTTAATTTTGATCATCAACTATTCAATATGTCATTACAACTCTCCCTAATGCATTCATTTTCACAATTTGGCTTTCACCTTCAGCTATACGTGATTACCTCTGAACATGATTCAAAAAATTTCGAAATAAAAATTAATGTTTTTCAAAATTTTTGACAACACGACCAACGAGAAATGGTTCTCATGGAGATTCTGTGAAACGTGGTCTTCCTTAAGAATCAGTAGAGAGTTGTCCTGAAAATCTAGAGAAGAAAATTGGATTGGATAATTTAGGAAACACTTGCCACATGAATAGCATTTTACAAGTGTTGTTCATGACGAAGAATTTCAAGAACGAAGTTTTAATGATGAACGAGATAATAGAATCAGTTGAATGAGTTTGTTCATTTAATGCCAGTAAAACGTACCATTTGTATTTTCGGAATGAACTTCAAAATTGGAATAAAAGTGTAGGCACTGACATGAATTTTCATTTACAACTGAAAGTATCTTTGGACTAGTAGAAACCACAAAAGCCTTTTTGAAAAAACAGTATTCTTCTTGAGCTAATCCAGTTCTTTGTATTGGAATGAATCTATAAGAATTTGATAGATTATATTTGGAATTATCATGAACAATTCATGTCATTTGACAAGTTCATTGGCTCATTTTATGAGTATGATGTTCTTATCAGAAGCATTGTAAATGCCGAGAAATTAGTTTAATCAGACACTATTGAAAAGTTACTTCGTATATTGTATGTATGTGGTATAAAAAGTGAATAACATGGATTTTTCCGTTAACCGGTTCACATCTCTAAATAAACTATTCGATAAATTCAAAACTTGAACAAACAACATTTAAACGTGCAACTCCTAACCTTGGTCAGACGCGGTAAATAACACTCATAGTTTCAGAGCTAGATCGGTCTCTCATCCAGAACTGTGGAGTGGCATAAAAATTGTTCAGCAAGTGTTTTTTATGGCTAAAATCCTTCTTGTACCATCCATTTCTGTTAGTGGTGAAATTATGAAAATTTGACAGTCGATTTTTGCTACTGACCAGAAAGATGGATGTAGCCCCGTTACTACGTGGTAGGAAATCATAATGAAGAAAAGAGAATTGAAACTTTATTATTTTATTTTACCACTTTTATTTGATGATTGATTACGTTAGCCCTTATATAACACTTGTGGTTTCATGCCAAGGAATGGTTTGAAAACGTCGAATCATTTTTTCCTACTCTGAAGAACCTTTCATGTTCAGCATTCTGTTTTTCAACATTTCGACCACCATGTCCCACATAAACACTATTACAACTCCAGAATTCTCCAACGTGTCCACTTCATCTTTGGCATTGAAAAAGAAATCGGATAACCTGACATGTGGGCTGAATGCCACTTCCACCTTGTTTTTTTTAAAGAAACCCGCAATTATCTCTGTTCTTATACCAAAATATGTTGGAGTTATCCATTTCTTGATTCCTGATTGTTTGATCTGGGTATATAGATATCAGTCTGTAGGTGAATTTACGGTCTTGTTTTCTGTTTTCAAAATTTCATTTTGAAATATTAATTATCTCATACGTAGATTTCGCGGACTTTCTCATTAACATTTATAAATTCATTGAAACCGGTTCAAATCACAAGAACTATTTTTCTAACGATAATATATTTTGTATATTTCATGGAAAAACTTGAAAAAATGACAATATACGAATAATACTTTTCAATACACTAATAAGGCAACATAACAATATTTTTTTTTTGTGAGGGAACTTTTCCAAAGTATTTTTAGTCAAACATATTTTGTTGTTCATGTTTTGAGTGTGAAATTATCTTCTTTGGCACTGTGCTTTACTCATAACTACTATATCACCTGAGTTTGCATTCGTCAAATGTCAAAACAATATAGTTATATCAGTTTTCCGCTTGTCTCAGATTGTTCAAAATAATCTTTATTACCATGTTATCTTTTGTTATTACTTCTTCTTCGCGTGAACAATGGAAATGATTTCACTTCGAAGTTTCAAGGCAACATGCTAATGCAATATTGGTATTCATGTAGTGAAAAAAAATTGCAAATGACTATTCACCGTCGTAGGCGTGCTCGGTGACGTGTTAGGGGTAATAATTCATGATATTTTCAAATGAGTTTTTCTTTGTATTCACTGCGAAAAATATCCTAACTACCATTGGTGAATTGAAACTTTGAAATTCGTGGCGATGGATATTTCAAACAACGGTTTATTGAAATTCTTGCAATTCTCCAGTCAGCTGATTAAGTCGGAAATGAATTTAGGTTGTCACGGAGTATCTGATATCATTGCGAAAAATAGGTTTTTGAAGTGATACATTTTTATAGGAGGGTAAACCGCTTCGTTTCCAAACGCGTAACGGGGCCAGTTTGTCTGGTTTCCTTTTCTCTTACGCATACGCCAGCGGAAGGCAGGCGCCTCCTCTCTCGTCGGACATACGCTCAGTGTTTAGTGTGCGTTAGACATATATTGTTGACTGTATTATAAAAATCTGACCAGCAAGCACGTAATATTCTTTTATTATGGGAAACGTGGCTTGAAAATGATGATACTAATTTTGTGTATGTACATTAATAATAGTAGGTTTCATTATTTGATCCTATAAAAGTATCAAACAATTGGCTTGTGTACATACACAAAATAAACAATTGAATGGAAGAATGTAAACTTTCACGGCCGGAAATAACTGTATGAACATTATTTTCCGGATTTAATGTTAATGCGTTGGATACAACAGGAAAAAGAACCAGACCACCAGCTCGGGTATTGCGACCGTTACCACATCGCCTTTGAAAATGTCTACTGCAGCAGTAGACGAAACCTTTCCTTACATCATATATTAAAATACATAAAATTTAAGTAGTAACCGAAGCTTTCCTCAAGTTGAATAATTTCAATAGTAAATATTTCAAATTAGATCAGTTTGAGTTATAACTTCTGTCGGGCATCTCGACACTCACACTTTTTTGAGTGTGATATGTGAAATATTCACATAACAAAACAGACTCTTGTGATGTACTGTGATGAATAGGTAGTTTAATCTTTTTCTTGAAGATGACAACTTGGTGATTGAAACACGGTTGAAAATAACGGTTTGGTGTTGGGATTAAACTTTAGTAATAGTCAAAACAGACTATTTCATTGAGTTTTCATTGGAAAGGGGGACGGTTGAATACATCAGCTTTTTGACATTAATTTTAAATTCTGAACATTTTGGTATTCACTGATAAATGTGATTGTTTGCACTATAGATAATAGCAAAATATGTCATTTCGTTTAAAAAAACTCACTCTGATACGCCTCGGTATTTTGTATATTTCGAGAATATTCCGAACAAGTTTTTTGTATTATCTAAACCTTTATCAGATTTATCTCAAACCTATGATAGATGCTCGATGTCACACACAATGTATATATTTTTTTTTATAACGGCTGGCACTAGCTGTAAAAAATGCATCTTATTTTAGTTAAAAAAATTTAAATGAAGTTCAATAACTCACATCAAACAGTTACAAAAAACTTCAGGAGATTGACTGATTTTTCCTTGTCGATTGATTATCGCAGATCATGATTTATTATT